AAAAATTCCTTATCCATTCAGTTCTCTTAAGTGACTTCATAAATATCAGGAGTTGGACAGCGAAACTTTAATTGTTGTTTAACTTTTGCCATTACTGCTAAATTAAGCTGGTACTTCCCAAAAGTGAGCAATGGAAATGTTTTAGGGAAAATGAAAGCAAAAAGGACACTTATACTTAGAATCAGGAAGAGACAATTGAAATTCCTAGGGGACATAATGAAGAAAGAGGCCTTGGAGAATTTGACCCTCACAGGTCATATTGAAGGTAAAAGGGACAGAGGAAAGCAGCTAATGAGCTTGTGTAAATGGTTGGCAGAACAGGGATTAGAAGTATAGTAAAAAGACAGTATTCGCCAATATCCTGAAGAGACAGAGCACATAGAAGAAGACTTCTCCAAATTGTTGGGGGGGGGCACTTTTTGAATAAAAAAAAATTGTTTGTGTCACACAATTTTTTTTTTTTTGAAAATAAATACACAATAAATATTGTGCTTTATTGCACAGTGCAGGAAAATACAGAATTAACTTTTGAAGTAATTATCTTAACATCCTGTAATTTACTGTAGGTATCCTAAGAGATCTGTAGATTCTACCAAGATTTATTGTTGATAAGTGGGCATAACAATATAAGATACGTAGATGACACTGGGTTGGCAATATAACAATATAAGATACGTAGATGACACTTGGTTGACATATGCAGAATGAAAACTACAGGACCTCGTAGCCAATATTGTAAGGGAAAGTGAGAAGACAGAAGAAGTGTAAAAAGACAACAAATATGGTTGTCAGCAAGAGAAGATGCCCAAGATGTGAGCTACAAATTGCAGATGTCAATATCAAATAAGTATAGAAGTTTAACAGAGTCAATGCTGGAGATCAATTATGAAATTTGACTTTAAACGCCAACATTATGATAGCCAAATTAGGCAATAAAAAATTTTATGAGCCGATTTATACCTTCAATTGAAGTTTTCATACTAAAAGTATCACTGCAAATAAACATGTTGCTGCCTGCAGATGAAAATGTATCAGAAAATGCCAGGTGAGATAACTCATAGTCTATTCCTCAAGCTCAATATGAAGGGGGCGCTACCCACAATTGCTGTACACATCAATGGAATCAGTTCAGGCTGTTCTCGATCTCTTGTAGGCAGACCACTTTGTTGCTCTTGGAAGAGGAAGGGATGTTCTCATTGTTGGTGAAAGGACCTTCAAGTGCTCCAGGGTAGGACTTAGTCAACTTGACATTAGCAACAGGCCCCCTATTTATGTTGAGGTTCTGGTTTTGGATGACAAATTGCTTGGTTATAACCTGATGCCCGGATTTGACATTATTAAGAAGTTGGGAGGAGTATGTGTGCCCAGCAATGAGACTGTGAGCTTTCCTCAACTTGATCAACCTTTGTGCACGGCCGTCGCCATTAATGAACCTGACTTGCATGCAGAGTATGTCCAGAACAAGAAGATCTGGTTTGTGTCTTGGAAGTGGTCTGGTGACCAGACACTGCCCGCATTAAAGAACCAGACAGACAAGTATCCAGTACCAAAGCCGGTCAGGGAGGAGTATACTCGTGACCTATGAACCTGGATGGATAATGGCTGATTACTTCCATATCCCAAGGAAGAACTTGGGCCTCCCAAAGGCCTGATCCCTCTAATGACTGTGCTGCAGGGAAACAAACAGAAGGTCCACCCGGTCATGGATTATCTAGAGCTCAATCAGTATGTGGATGTACACACTGCGCATGCAGATGTTTGTGACAGGAAGGATCAAATGTGGCTGTGCTGGATTTGTACCATGCTTATTTGCAGATCCACATTGACAAATTGTTATGGCCCTTTCAAACAGTGCAGATAGATGGGCAAAGATACTGCCTCACCTGTTTGGGTTTTGGGCTCAACATGGTACCACTGATCAATAGTGAAAGCCATTGTTGCACAGGACAAAACCATCCAGAGGGCCATGTCCTCATACATTGATGACATATTTGTCAATGAAAGCATATGCACTGTGGGACGTGTATGGGCGCATCTTCAGCAATTTGTACTGACAAGTAAGAATCCAGAGTGTTTAGAGAATGGTACCTGTGTGCTGGGATTATGTGTCCAGGAGGAGTGGGGCAAGTTACAATGGAGTTCCGAGAGTGACCTACCTCCCACCGCTACCTAATGTGTTCACTTATCGGAACATCTTCTCCCTGTGTGGGAAGTTGACTGAACATTTGCCAGTATGTGGCTGGCTCTGTCACAACTGCATTTATAAAATGGCGTACAAACTCGGTGATGTGAGGCTGGGACGATGAGGTGCGGGATCCACCCCTGACTCAGATGCTGACGGATATCCTTACCAGATTGCCACAGAAGGATCCAGCACAAGGCGATTGGCGTGTTCATGGAGGCAAAGTTACCGTGTCAGTTGATGCAAGCTTCTTGGCCATTGGCATCAATGTGGAAAGCTGCGAATCCCTAGTTGAAGATGCCTGTTGGCTGCGATCAAAACGTGAAGACAAGCATATCAATCTGGCAGAGCTTGCTGCAATCTTGAGAGGCATCAACATGGCACTGCAATGGAGAGCAACTGTGGTGCACCTGAAGACTGACTCAACGTGTGTGCATCGATGGGTTTCTGATACACTGTCTGGAAAGTCTCGGGTGTGCACAAAGGCAGTGACAGAAATGTTGATAAGACATCGGCTGAGCACAATCAAGGAACTGGTGGAGGAATATAAATTGACGTCAGATCCCATCAGATCAGCTCACTAGAGTGCCTCAATGTTGGTTGGGTGCAGTTTGGAAAGAAATGGAACTAGTGTGTGCCACATCTATGGATGAGCAGGAATCAACCGACATTCAAGCCATCCATCGATGTAGTGGGCATCATGGTGTGAAATGCACTTTGTATAACAAATCCACCCTGATGTCTCAAAGGCAACTGTTTGGGCACTGGTTGGAGAGTGCAAAGTGCACCAATCCATTGACCTGGCACCAGTGCATTGGAAAGCCAGACAGTTGGATGTTTGTGAGAATTGGAGCAGAGTTGGGATGGCTATAACCCATTATGAAGGCCAGCATTACCTGACTCTGATTGACAGTGGCCCTAGTTGTTTTTCCATCTGGAAGCCGTTAACACATCAGGACGCTGCCAGTATCATCTGACAGCTGGAGGCACTATTCTGCAAGAGAGGGCCACCTGCTCATCGACATCTGTGGGGAGGTATTCGCAAAGTTTTCCAAGAACTGGGGCATCCGACTAAGATTTTGGTGTGCCTATCAAACATCAGGGAATGGCATTGTGGAGAGATATCATCGTACCATCAAGCATATCACTGATCGATCGGGATATTCCATTATAGAGGTGTTATATTGGTATAACGTGATGCCAAAAGATGGCGCAACAGCTTTGGCGGCATCAGCCAGCACTATATACAACTATCAAGCCTGCATAAAAGATGTTGATGTTGCACCACTAATTGAACACACAGATCCTGGAGACTACAGAGCGGGAGATGTGGTTTGGGCAAAGACTTCACATGGTCAATGTTCAACGCAGTTTAAAAAAAGGAATAGTAACACAAGTCTATGGCCCACATTCAGTTCTCACTGGAATGCCACGCCATATCAGAGACCTCCGCCCATGCCAGAAATCTGCTTTATCGGAAGATGACAGTAGTAATAAGTTACCTGAAAGTGAATCAGATTTGCTGCTGTTTTTCAATGCAGGGTCAGATTATTCACCTATGGAACCAGAAGAAAGAGATTCTGGAGACAATGATGATGCTAGTAATGAAAGAGACCAAGTAGGCATAAATACAGAAGAGATGGGCGGAGCCAGTCCACTTTTACGTAGAAGTACTCTATGAAGGCAGCTGTCATCTCTGTGTCATTTATGTGATCAGGAGATCAGGAAGGAGTGTAAGAAAGACAGTCTTGGAGCTATGAGAATTCATGTGAGTATGCAAGTGAGGAGGACAGCATTTGTTTTTGGAACACTGTGATGTTTTTGAGTTGGCAGAGACTGGGATAGTTAGAAAGCGATTATTTGCATCAGTTTCACACACTGATTTCTCATTCTGAGCTGCTATCAATTACACCACCTGCACATCCTTGCTTCAAGGAAGCTTGGTTGAATGCACAAGTTGCTGTATTTGAGCTTTAATGGCTTGTGAAAGACCAAATAATCAGCATTGATTGGAAATAAAAATCAAGCTAAGCATGCTGAGATTTTTTATTTTTAAATCCCTTATTCACCTTTCTGGTCCATTGGGGGCAGAGATCAGCTTTATCTTGTCATCAAGCAACACAAGACAAATTCAAAGCTGAATCGAGTCCCTGGGGATTCCAATCCCAGGGTAGCATCTCTTCATTGCTCATGTAAGTCACAAAAGTCTCTGACGCCGTGGGGACTGGCCAGTATTGGCCTTTATCTACAGGTTGGCGTGTTCGTAAAGGTGGCGGGGAAACAGATAAACACAACACTTTTTGAAAGACAAATAAAAAAATCTTATTCCTTTTCTTAACGAACATGATTAACAATAGATACAAAAAAAAAAAAAAAAAAAAAAAGACGATATATCAATTGGAAGAATTTTTAATTTTCTTTTCTTTTTTTTTTTATTCATTGTCGTAATTGTGCGCAGATTGTAAAATTCCAGTATTATATGAAAACTGAAAGGAAGTTAGTTGTACCACACCATCCCAGAGAGTCGTCAGTACTGCGCCTAACTTGTTCTAGTGATGGGATAGTGAAGTAAGTGATACATCCGCCTCTTCGTTGTACTGAATCCGAAGCCACTGGCTGGACACACACACGCAAAAAAAAAAAAAAAAACAGAGGTTTTTAAAAGTTGATTATTGAACCTCATTGCAGATATGTATCATATGTGTGTGTATGCAGTGCAGTGTTTACATACGTAAAACAGTTACAACAATAAAAAAAAAAAGAAAAAAATAGATAATTGTTGGACACAAATAAAGAAGTCATTTCGTTAGAATTTGCCATGGCTAAAGTGGACAGTTGCCTATTTAAATTTCGGTGAGTTGAAACTTTTTTTTTTATTATACATTTTTTTGTTTTTTAAACGGAATATCAACAACCATGAGTTTTTTTTAATGCATTTTTTAATTCACGGTATATTATGAGAATTTTTATTGTATTTATTTATTGTAAAATAATGCGCGTTTTTAAGTGTTAATTAAACAGTACTGTTCTAATATTTATTGTTTTATCTTTCCTGTTCTAAGAAAAACAACTTTTTATTTCAACAAAAAGTTTCCTGGGATGTAAGAGTTCTTTTTTTATTAATAAAAAAATTTTAATTCTAAAGCAAAGAAAGCACTTTTTTGCATATGTTTTAAAACTGTTTTAGTGTTAGTAAAAAAAAAAAAAATAATCATATTCCTAATTATTAGCCTGTTATTTACTTATTGAACGTTTTGAAAGTTTTTAGTAAAAACTTTTTACTAAATGAAATTTGAAAGGTTAGATGAGAATCTAAAAAAGAAGAGGATGGTATTATTTTTTTTTTTTAAGTTAAAAAAAGTAAACACTTTGGTTTTGGATCACTGTCGATATTTTTCCGTAATATTTTTGCGAACGATTGGTTGTAAAAAAAAAAAAAAACAACAAACGAACAATCCAGTCAATAAATTGTTTTTAAAATAATTTCTTTTCTTTTTTTGCATGTACAAAAAAAGACCATGATGTGGATCAATTCACGTATATTTACAATTTATTGGGGACATTTTATTTAGTTTGTCATTATTGACTCCTATTGACCAATCCAAAATTAAATCATTATTAAATGAATTCCTAGTTTATTCACGCGGTGAATATAAGTTTATTTTAATAAATTAAAATTACATGCCTTATTTTCAAAACCATTTTTGAGGCATGCTATAATTTTCACAGGGATTCCAATATTTCATTGCTCGTAGAAAGTTTTTGTGTCCTTGCTTGGAGTTTGTTAATCCTTGTTAATCAAGTGCCTTTGGTTAGGGTTTGGCTACTTAAAGTGGATTTTGTCACAAATAGTTTGTGACGTGAGTAAATTAGGATTTTTTTGCTCTTTTAATAGTTACCCTTCGCTTGATATTCACAAGGAAATTTTGCCAGTTGCTTAAGATAAAAATAGCAAGAAAGTAAAAATTCATTGACTTTAAAATAAATTTAAAATTAAACAAATTTAATTTTTTTTTAAATTTTGTTTTGGGCCTATAAGGCTACAAGAAAAAATGTTTTCAAGTTTATTGATTAAAAATCTGAGTCTGTTTAAAAAAAAAAAAAAATCTTAAATAGAATAATTCAGGAACAAAAAGAGTTAATAATTTTTTTATGGAGTAAATAAAAGTTTTTTTTCTTTAACATCAGGTTATTTGCTTTCTTTGTCCCATATTACATTTTTTGAGTAAGAAATGCGTATGCAAATGTAACGATTATGGAACAAAGTAAAAAGTTAATTTTAAAAAAATGTTACTTTATTAAATAAATTTTTAATGACGCCAACTTTTTGTTTGTGCGTGTGTTATTTACTAGCTTAAAAATGGATTTTGATCAGAAAACTGGTTACTTATTTTTTTTTTTTTTTTTAATGCTTGGGGTCTACTATCTCTCAATAGAAGACAGTCCATCAATATTCAATAGCTAAAAAAAACTAGAATTGGTAGAATTATTAACAGAACTCCTTTTTTTTTATTTTGATTTTTTATGCTTTTTCTTTATCTTTATTTTTGTTGAGCCATACTTACATCAGAAATGAAATTGTTTAAGATTTTTAGATAAATTAAAATTTTTAATTTATCTAAAATTAAATACAGTTGCTAAAAGCGTGTCACTGGTGTAGTGTTGTGTAATTTTTTAGCAGAGGACCATTGCGGGAAGATTGAACTTGTTATTCATTCATTCAAATGATCTTTTTGACCAGAAAACTTTTGCTGCACAAAAAATAAATAAAACTGAAAAGAATAATCTTTCTAAATGACCATAAAAAAGATAGAACACCTGTTCAATATCTCATCATTCGTGTGTAAGGGCTTTTTCAATGTTGTCTTTTTTTAGTCTACAATTTGTACCTTTTTCAAGTTTTATTTTTAATTTTACTCTCTGAATGAAGCCAGCAAACAAATTATGACATGAGATTTTTGACAGTGTTCAAATATGTCTCTCTATTAATTAGCATGGTGACGTTCTGTCGGAGTTAAAAATTGATGACTAAAAAAGCTTTGCTTTAAAGTTCTTTGATACTGCACAGGGACATTTTTTTTCTAATATTGAACGAACATTAGAGGATGAAGAACCTTTTTTGCTTTTTGCATGAAAAAAAAAATGTAAGAAAAAATGGAACACTGAATTTATTACTTTTTTACTTTACATCATTATTTTCGGAGAAAAATAGTTTTGTTCAAAACCAAATTGGATTTTTGATCTTTAAAATACTACATGGAAAGCCTAGTAAATAAAATTTGACTTGCAAGACAGTTTTGTTTGCTAATCTTTGTTGTTTTAACTTATTGAAACAACTATAGCTTTCTCTGAAAAAGGTGAAAGTTTCTCAGCTATATTTTTTTTAAGAGATAAGTTGTTAATTAATAGATTGTAAGTTTTACTTGGTTTCTAAGCTCTCTCTATTTGAAGTTTTTCACAGTAAATCGTTTTTTGAACCTTTCTTTTTCTTCACGACTTTACTCAGGACGTCAAACTACGGAAGTTGAGTTACAGACCTCACAGAAGAAAAATGATGAAAGTAAAAATATCAGTCAAAAATTAATAATAATGATTAATATTGCTTCATGAAATAAAAAAAAAAAATAATACTAATTGTCCATTTCTTGATGACTGTCCAAGTCTCAATGAGTTCATTTCTACTGTGACCAGTGCCCTCCTTATTTCCAATGACATACACATACAAAAAGTATTTTTATTTAAATGTTTTTCTTCAATTTGGGTGAAAATATTTAAAAAAAAAAAAAAAAAATTAATGCAAGTAAAATAACAGTACCTTATTGATTGTTATTTCTTTTTCTTTACTCAGTCTTCCTTTTTAGAGGGCTTCGCTTAGCCCCAAGACAGTGTTCAATTTTTATTACAGGGTTAAGTTTTTACGACTCAACAGTCCTCCTAAGTTCCAAATAGGAGACGAATTAATGAACATCCTTCAAATCGTGGCGTAAATTGAGTCTTTCTACGTTTTTTGTTCATCAAGTGTTTTTTTTAGCTTCTACGTTGTCGACTTTATACTGTTATAGATTGACGGCTGAATAAACTTGCAGTAAAAAAGGAACTAAAAACAAAAATAAGTTGAAAGTTAAATTAAGTAAAATAATAATAATGGTTGTGGGGAAAATAATTTTTTTCATAAACTTAATTGAAATCTTTTTATTTTTTAATCATAGAAAAATAAAGTTGATTGCATATTGCTTGTTCGTATTTATTTCCATTTTTAATTTCTTAATTTAAAGTTTTATAAAAATTTAAAAAAAGAAGTGAAAAATTTATTAATTTTTGAAAACTTTTTATTTATTTATTAACGCTATTATTAAATTTTCGGAAACAAATTGTAGATATTTATTTTGGATGAAATATTGCCAATGTTTTTTTTTTTTTTAAAAAAAAAAAAAAAAAAAACCTTTTGAGCTCTGAAACCGTAAACCGAAATCCGAAACCAACGTGACCACTTTTTTGGGCATCACTTGACATTTTTGGCAAAAATCCCTGTTTCACAAACTTCAACATAACACAAAAAATCAGTAGTGAAGAAGATGGCTAGTACAAAGTTGCTCATATGAACAATCTTGTTCTACTTTTGCATGTTGCTGTGTAATGATTTATTTATTTTTTATTTTTTGGTGATTAGATGCTGGAGCTATGTACAAACAAGTAAATAGGCACTAAAAATCATTTGCTTGTAACTATTATCTTGCATTTTTTTTTTTCGCATATCTAACAGATATATTATTTTTATTCTCTCTCAGAATAGTTTGTATGAACAAACCTTATCTGATAATGGATGTTGAAAATATAAACTTTCATTTAGAATGCTGTCACTGTATGGTGTTCAGATTCTAGTTAAAAAGGATTTCCTGTTTCCCTTTCAACTTGTCTCACTTGCTGACATTTTTATCAAGTGCTATACACTGAGGCTTTGTGTAGACTTAAGCATTTTTAGATCCACACCTTCTCTTACATTGCTTGGACATCTCACAATCAAGTACATTATGGCTGAGGACTGGTTAATAATTGGCAATACTTTATTTATATTTGTAGCAAAGGTTCTTCAAAACTTCATGTCTTTCTCTCCTTACCTTATTTAATGAGATGAGTAAGTTTAGGTTTTTTTTCTGATTTTCATTGGTTTGTAGAAGAATACATTGTTGAAGCTTTTCTGTTTTTATGCATATTGTCTCCTGTCAAGATTGACAATGATTACAACAACCTCCAAGAGTTCCAACTGCCAGGATGGTAGGTGTGAGGGAGTGATTTGCTCAAGTGCTTACTCGTATACTTCATCTACCACTATAGTATGTCAGAGATTAGACAATTTTGCCAATATACTTGGTATGGGACAAAGCACAGGGACATGGATTCATGCCTTTCCCTATACCATTAAATCTTAGTCAAAATTAATAATTTCAGATATGAGATTTAAGTTCTTTGTCAGTTTTCTGTACTTGTTGTTATGTCACCATATCATATGAATATAATCATACACTTTCTACTGTACATATTGATTCCAGACTTATAAAAATCCATCTCCAACCCCCCCCCCCCACTGAACTAAAAGCGGTAGATATGAGACATGTGCAGATGCCTGGAGTTAAAATTGATAAGGACTGTACAATTTCTAGAAATATCCTTTGCTCCCAAAATTTGTGGGTACTATATTGTTATATATTGTACCTATGAACACTAATGGGGTTGTTCCAATCCTCATAAATACATTGGACACTATTGTATGCTGTCTATATAGTCTGCCACTGGCGAGTAATGTATTTTGTTTATGTTATAAAGATTACCATTTTATTACCAACCTCTGTTTT